CATGCCTGACCTTTGCAGGATCCAGCCCTGCTTCTTCAGGCCAGTGGCACCCAGGAGTTGGTCCTCAGCCTCTCCTGGCCTGGCCTTCATAACCCGCACCTGCTGCTGAGCTGTCCTGCCCCAGCACAAAGACCCACTTTCTCCTCTCCTCGCAGCATCCTGGCCAGCCCAGCTCAGTGCACCCAAGTTCCGGCTCCAGCTGTGACTCAGGCTGCGCTTTTAATCTCGGCTTTAATTCCTGCTCATTCTCTTGGCTGTGGCCCCCAGCCCCGGGCCCATGCTAATTTGCTTCTCCCACCTCTACTGGTGCCGGAATAACCATTTTAAAAGCTGCCTTGGGGAAATCTAATCAAATGAGAGCAAAATCTAATTTGGCACTAAAAGCCTCTGACTGAAGCCCTGTTTTCTGGGGCCTTGTGGAGCCTGAACAATAAACTCTTTCTGGATTTTGTAAGGGTTGGGTGTTGCAGAGGAGAGAGTGATGGTGAAAAGTGGGGACTAGGAGAGAGCTAGGGACGCTGACTCCGTGGTGCTGGACAGCCATCGGCCGGGTGGCCTCCAGCGGAGCAGGGAGTTCGTTGGCATTCCCACCCGCAGAGCCACCAGAAGACCTGGGCCCAGAGCATCAGGCGCAAACCAGTGGGGTCACAAGCAGGGACCTGGGCAAGAACCCCAGACCTTTCCTCCGGTTTGTTTTTCTGCAGGGGGAGGGTGTGAAATCCTAGGCTGCTGAAATGATCTGTGGTCCTGGGTCCCTTTCAGAAGTTGTCACAGGCTGTGGGCATTTTTCCAGGAAAACGCACATAAAATACAAAGCCTGCCACCGACCCGGGAATGCTCCTGTCCTGTTTGCTGTAGTATCTCCTCATTGTGGCCTCCAGGACCCGGTGTGATCTGGGCCCTCTTCCCAGTGAGGTCACCTCCTGCCTCCCTCTCTGTCCTCAGGTTCCACAAATACCCCACACTTGTTCCTGCCTCAGGACCTTTGCCTGTCGCAGTTCTCCATGCCCAGAGCAGTTTCCCTTCTGGTCTTGTCCTGTGGCTTCCTTCTCATCGCTCCTTAAGCCTCTCCCGAGCACTGGCCTGGTGCTTCCCCTCCAGGTGCCACTCCGCCCAAATGTTCTCCTTTATGCTCTGCACCCTTGCTAGCGACAAGCTTGTCCCCTTCGTTCCGCACCCTGTGACAGCCTTTGCAGACGACAGGTGTTTAATACTGCAGTCAGTAGCTGTGTCACTGACTCGAGAAACGTGTGCCAGGTCGATCGGTCACCCTGTGACCCTCACAGAGGGTGCACGTGAACCCAGGCTCCATGGTAGAGCCCTCTGCACACTCGGGCTGTGTGGGGTGTGCGCCACCTGCCCTTGCTAAAATCGTCACTAAGCACAGAGCAGGGCAGTGGCCATCAGAGGGCCATGTGAAACCGAACGTGCCCTCGTCGGTCAGGTCACCCCAAACTCACCCATTTCGTCAGCTGCCATTGTGATTTTGGCAACTCCTGGATCCACTGATTCTGCTAGTTACTTTCTTGCTTAGCTCTTTTGACTTCAGATGTTTCAAAAGAAAACTTCTTCTCACCCAAGTTGTTTGCCAGGAACAGAAAGTGCTGGGGCTTTCTGAGGGAGGGGTATTAAAAGTTCACCCTCAGAGCCGGGGATTTAGCTCAGTGGTTCCGCTGCCTGCCTTGTAAGCGCAAGGACCGGAGTTCCATCCCCGGTACCAAAAAAAAAAAAAAAAGTTCACCCTCTTCCTCACTGGACCAACAGAAAAATAAAACTGAGGACACCATTGCCCATGGTGGTGAATCCGAAGAAGGCAAGGCAGGAGACCGGCTTCCCCTGAGGCCCTGAGTATCCTGTCCAGATCCCAGGGTTAGGTCTGGGGGAGCCACCCATGCCCCTCGCAAGCCTCCTGGGCCAGCATTTCCTGTGGGCAGCTGCTTCCGGAAAGGAGACACGAGGGACAGTGGAGTTCTGCAGCTCTTGTGCCCCTCTAAGCCAGACCATTGACCCTGCCCAGGGTCAGCAGGCCTCGCCACAATGAACTCAGCCCCATGCCTTCTCATGTGAAGGTGTTCTGGAACACAGCCACCCCGTTTGTGTCTTCTGCTCTCCCAGCTGAGGAGGGGTGGTGAGCAGTTGCTGCAGAGGCGTCCGGGGCTGCCCGCTGCCCCTGTGTGTCACTGTCCCAGGGCGGAGCAGGGCAGGGTGGAGAGCTGCGCAGGGGAGGTGGCGGCAGGGTGGAAAGCAGGTCATGGGGCTTATTAGATCTCAGTGCCTCAGCCAGACTCCATCTCTAGGGGCCTCTTTGGCCCTGGAGATGTAGCTCTACACTGAGTGGCGCCAGAGGGCTGAGTGATGGATGGTGTTTTTAAATAAGATCAGGGTTTTCAGCCTCAGCACCATTAATGCCTTGTTCTGGTCGTCCTGGCAGTGAAGGGTCAGCAGCCTCCCGGCCTCCAGACATGGCCCGCTGTCTCCAGGGACGGGGGCTGGGTGCAGAGGCAGGCTGGCCGCCGCCTCCTGCCGGATCCCAGTCACTTCCTCCTGACACCCAGCCAGGGACACTCGGGCCTGTTTAATGAGGCACCTGCCACCTAATTACATCTCACTCTTTAAATACTGGAAGCGACTCAGGACTCAGACAGTGCTGCCATCCCCGCCGCCTCCTCCCAGGATGGTGCCAGGTTCTCTGGGTTATTTTCGCTCTGCCCTCCCACGCGGGGGAGGCTCCTTCTCCCGGAGGCTGTCGGGAATCCTCCCTTCCTATTTTTGCCTTCCCCTCGCCCGGATCCTCCCCAGAGGTGTTTCCTCAGCGCCTCCCTACACCCAGGGGGCACGCAGGCGCACTTTGTGGTCTCCGGAGCTGTCCTCCCTCCTGGGCAGTGGCAGCCTCCGTCCGGCTCTCTGTGTGTGCTCCAGGGTCTCCCCTCCGTCAGTGGGCCTCCCCGCCTGTCTGTCTCTGTCTTGGGTTCTGCATTGAGACCCACAGAGCGCTCCCTGGTCTCGGAGTACAGTGCAGAGCTCAGAAGACTTCCGGGCCTCCCTGCAGCCACCCCAGTACTCATTGTCTTGTGCTCTCTACGATTTTGTTTGGAGTGTCTCGGGGACCCAGTGTCCCCATCTGGAGAGAACGGGCTGGGATAGGGCCTCTGCCTCTGCCAGAAACCCCACAAATGTTCCCATTTCTTAAAAATGGCTTTGTAGGTTACAGTAAAAATGAAATAGAAAAGGATTATTAAACTGGGTGTAATGCCACACACCTGTAATTCCAGCACTCTGGGAAGCTAAGGCAGGAGGAGGTTGAGCCCAACCTAGGCTACCTAGCAACTTAGGGAGACACTGCCTCTGAATACAAAAGGTGGGGTAGAGTGCCCTGAGTTTGATCCCCATTCTGGGAGGGAGGGGAAGGGATATCACTAAGATCTGTTTCCTGTCTATTTCCTCATTCCACAAAGAGATTTTGTTTTGTTTTGTTTTGTTTTGTTTGCTTTTTGAGACAGGATCTTGCTGTGTAGCCCAGGCTGGCCTCAAACTCATGGTAATCCTTCAGCCTCAGATGCTGGGATTACAGGCATGTGCCACCACGCCTGGCTTTCCCAAAGAGATTTTACTACCTGAAAGTAGGGGACTTTTTTTTAAGTAAATTTAATTGGTGATGGGATTGGTATTTAGCTTGGTGCCACACCTGCCTTGAAAGCTCAAGGTCCTGAGTCTGATCCAACACCCCCCAAAAACATTTTTTTAATTGGTGGTGTAGAGTATGGGTGTGGAAAAGTGCTCCACCCCAAGATGTCCAGGCCAGTGAGATTTCACCAACAGAACCACTGGTATCCCAGCAAGAAAGAGAACGGGGCCATCCCCCAAGAAGCCCCCTACCCCCTGAATTGCCCTCCTCTAGAATCCAGGGATAAGCACTGTCTTCATGTCCAACCCGTAGGTTCTTCTTGCCTGGTGTTTGTTCGTGTGTTTGTACCAGGGATCGAACTTGGGACCTTGCGCTTGCAAGGCAGGTGGTGGCACCACTGAGCTAAACCCCCGGCCCCCTCTTGCCTATTTTTTAATGTCTTGTAAATGGGCTCGCGCCACGTGTGCCGTGTCTCTGGTGTATATCTCAATGCACCTGTGCTCCCGGTGTAGCACTAGGTCTTTCTCGTGTCTTTATAGTTTTCCATTTATTAGTGCAGGACTTTCATTTTCCCACCCTCCCGTGCATGTACATTTTGGCTCTGGTTCTGCGTTGTTATGAATGGGCTGCGGTGAGCCTGTTCCATGTGTGAACTTTGGTGAACACACAGATGATGCTTTTCAGACAGCTGGGTCAGAGGCTCCGTGTTCGTTTAGCAGACCCTGCCAAAGAGCAGCCCACTGTGCTGCGCCGTTTGGCACATCCCCCAGCAGCATGCGAGAGGTCCGGCTGCTCCCTGCCACCACACAACACTAACTGTTGTCAGTTTTAGGTTAGCCATCTGGTCACCGTAGTAGGTACAATTCAAAATGTCCATACACTTGAACAGAGAACAGTTATACTCTTATTTTTCATAAATCCACAGCGGAAACTTAAGTTTTTGCTTTCAGTATGAACATGGGCCATAAACGAGTGTATCTGCAGAGTCCGTAACTTGCCACCCATAGAAATCGTCATCGCAGCTGTTCGAGACATCACAAAACCCAGGGTTTTCACTCAAGCCGAGCATGGTGCTGCACACCTGTAGTACCAGCACTGTGGGAGGCTGAGGCAGGAGGATCACAAGTTCGAACCCAGTTTGCTACCTTAGTGAGACCCTGTCTCAAAAAGGGTGGGGTGTAGCTCAAGGCAGAGGCCCTGGACTCACTTGCCACTAGCACCAAAACAAACAGTGTGAAGGGTCTCTGGGCTCTGCCGGTACCACAGCAGCCGTGGCGGAAGCTGTGCTGCTCCCTGGCCTGGGCACAGGGCGTTTACGCCAAGAGAAACCGTGCTGTGTGCCTTCTCACGTGGCCTTCTGCCCCTCGCCCTCCAGCTTTCTTCGGGAAGTACCTCAACGAGTACAACGGCTCCTACGTGCCGCCCGGCTGGAAGGAGTGGGTCGGACTCCTTAAAAACTCCCGCTTTTACAACTACACGCTGTGTCGGAACGGGGTGAAGGAGAAGCACGGCTTTGACTACTCCAAGGTAAGTTGTGCGCGTCCCCGGCCTGACACCCGCCCCGTCTCTGCCCAGGCTCCGTCTCTCGGCGGCTGTCTGAACCGTTCTCCCGGCGGCTGGCATTGTAGAGCAGTCGGCACAGGGTTCCCGCTGCTTGGCGGCTCTTGAGATCGGCTGTGTTCTCGAGTGCCGTGTAGTCCTGCTCAGCGGGACGGGTGTGAGATTCGCCCACACAGCAGCACAGACCTCCAGTGTGTCCCGTCCCTCTCTGTCACGGTCCGACGCGGGGTTTATCTATCTCTCCATCCCTCCGACAACCAAGGACGTTTTGGTTGTTCCCAGATTGACTCCATCCGGAGTTCCTCCTTGTACACAGCTTGTGGTGCACATCTGACCTCCCCGACATAACTCATGGGGACGCACTGTTCATTCAGTGGCTCAGCCAGTTTGCACTTCCGGGCCAAACATCCCGAGGTCCCGTTGCTCAGACCTCTCCTCTGTGGTGTTGCCTTCATCAGAGTCACCCGGCTGAGGGGCACTGGAGCTGCTGCCTTATGGTGTCATCACCATGGGGTCTGAGGGCCAGGTGTGTTAATACCTGGAGCGGGGGTGGAAGCTCTCTGCATGTGACAAATACACGACAGAGAGTAGCTTAGCCCAGGGCAGGAACAGATCCGATAAATGTTGTGGGCTTTACAAGTCAGGCAGTCTCTGCCTAACCCTGGCCTGTGGAAGCAGCCGGGACAGTATGGACGCCACAGGATGGCTGCTGCCTGAGTCAGCTCTGTCCCTGACAGCTCCTGAGATCTCCAGCTTCACAGAGTAAAAGCGGGTTTGGCTCATGTTTTCCGAGGTTTCAGGCCGTGGTTGTTTGGGCTTCAGAGGACATCATGGCGGGAGGCCTCTTCGCCTCAAAGCAAAACAGAGGGGTCCAGGGTCCCAGTACCCCCTCAAGGACAAGTCCCCAGTGACCTGACTTCCTTCCTCTGGGTCCCACCTCAAAGATCTCAGCACCTCCCGACAGTGCCACAAGCTGGGGACTGAGCCTTCAACACAAGGGCCTTCGGGGGACATCGCATGTCCAGCTCCAGCAGCTGTGTGCCAGTGACGCTGTTTACAGAAACAAGCAGTGGGCTTGATTTGGCCCGGGGTGAAGTCTGCTGAACCCTGGCTTAGATGATGATGTGGAAGAGGGGCGGGGCGCGACTGGCATTCACATTTCCTGTTTCCAGAATGTGTGCGTTATATGTGGAAACGGTCCACTCCGGCCCCCGCATCCTCAGAGTCTGCGCTGGTATCCGCACAGCTGGTACAGTCTTCGTCCTACGATGAGATCCATCCTGCCCCCCGCCCACCCCCAGCTTCCAGATTTACAAATACTGGCGCCTCATTCAGACCTTTCTAAGCTGCTGAATGAGTCAGGCACGCCGAGCCAGGCCTGCAGTCTCTGCAGTGCCTGTGTCCTTCTGCCACCTCCTTCAGGGACTGTGCAGCCCAGGTCAGCACCCAAGGTCGGCAGCCCCAGCGCTGACACGCTGTGCGTCACAGTGGCACGTGGGTACATCGCTCGCTCGAGAGCCGCACTTGGCTCTGGGCATGAACGCTACCCTACCTCAGTGTGCACTCCGGTTCGTTGAGCCCCTCCTAGGTGCTGGGCACTGTGCTGAGGGTTTTATGTGAATATTTCCAATCTTCACAGCAGCGTACATGGTGAGTGGACTGATCAGGCGTATAACTCACTCAGCCCCACCCACAAGTGCCTGCCGCCCAGGGATAACAAAAACAGACTTACTCACTGTCCTTCCGGGGCTCGAGATCTGGCCCCGAAAGGTGTGCTCTAAACTGTGAAGTGATGCTCACATGTCTTAACACCAGAGCCCCTCAGCACAGTGTACACACGCGTGTGTGCACGCACACACACACCAGCTGTCTCCGTTGTCAGCCGCGAGTGAACCATGTCAACCGCACCAGCCCTGCCAGTTACTGTGCCTTCTCACAGGCTTCGCTGGTGCTCTCCTGCCCCGTCGTTATCCACGGCTCACTGCCCTCGTTACGGGGTTATTCTTTCTTGACTCAGACTGGCTTCTTTCAATTCCTGTTTGTAAACAGGAGTTGAACTCAAAATGGTTTGATTGGAGAGAAAACCTATTAGTCCAGCAAGAATGGCATCAGGCATGGTTGGACCCATGGGATCAAACAAACTCTTCAGAAGTCACTTCTCTCCTCTCTGCTCAGTGTTCTTGGTCTCTCACCTCATTTACAGACACACTTTCCCTCCCCTCCTGGTAGCAGTATGGCCACCCTTATGTCCTCTCATTTCCTGCTGGGCTGCAAGTGTGGGAGTCTTTCCCAGGGTCCCCAGCAAGTCACGTTGCTTCTCATTGGCTCTGAAGCATCACGTGTCTGTCCCTGAGCCAATCAGCATGTGTGCTCCTGAGCCCTCCCCAGGAACACAGGCTGAGAATAGAGGCCCAAATAAAACGGAGTTGCCACTTGCTCAGCAGCCAAAGAGCCCCTCCCCTTCCCTTTCTGGAGGCACAGCACATTCTGGGGCCCTCTTGCTTTTGACAGCAGTTGGGGCTGATATCTTCCTGTGTGTGCCTCAGTCAGTCCAGACCCCAGGGACAGAGACCGTGTCTCCTGTGCAGCACCCACCTCCCGCCCCCTGGGCCTCATTCTGCACATAATCAGCTTCCATTACTTCCTCAGCAATTAATTGCAAAGTGCTGGTGAGGGAATTGAGCAACCCGGCTGGACTCCTTGGGAACAGAAATTACAGTCTCCCAGGGCTGAACACACTGTCTGCCTTCTCCCAGCCTCTGTGCAGGCAAAGTCTCTAAATACCCTGCAAACCGCTCCCTCCTCGCAGTTCCTCCTCACACTGCGCTCGGCTCAGAGCAGCCTGGGAATCAACTTACCCAGGGTTCTCTGGGACCTGTGGGGATAGAACATCTGCTTTTTTGCCTGCTTCCTGCCACACATCATGCCCTGCAGATGAGAAGAGTCCCTGAGGTGGGGTGCCGTGATTCCTGGGCTCCCAGTTTCCAGGGGCCTGCAAACAGAAGCAGGGTGACGGGGACAACAAGGGGACTTTGGGACCAGAACTGGCTCAGGTCTAGGGTTCGGATCCTGAGAGCAGCATGGCAGACGGGGGCACAGCAGTGGGCTGGAGGCTGGGGGTCCAGGCTCAGGGCCTGTGCTTGCTGCCTCGGTCTGTCTGTGTGGCCACCACAGAACACCTGAGTCTGGGTACTTGATAAGGAAAATAGATTTGCATGGCTCGCGATTCTGTCTGGATGGTCCAGGTAGCATGACACTGGCTGATACGGTGGGGCCCTGGTGGCCTCACAGCAGGGAGGAGAAACTGGCAAGTGTGGAAGGGTCAGGTGCACGAGGTTACAGAGGCAAGCGTGCAAGCCCAGAAAGCCAAACTTGCTTCATTAAAACCTACTCTTGAAGGCACCAGCCCAGTCCCAGGAGACCTGACTCGCTCCAGAGACCGGCATTAATACCTCCCAGCCACACACCCCAGCCCAAGAATGGTTTTTATGTTTTCAACTAGTTTGTTAAAAACTAAAGTAAAAAAGTCAAGAGTAATTTTAACGCGGTAAATACAAACTGTGGAATGTTACTCTGTTTTTAAAAAGAGGCTACTCCTGCTGGGCATGGTGGTGCATGCCTGTGATCCCAGCATTTGGGAGGCTGAGGCAGAAGGATCACAGTGAGTTTGAGACCAGCCTGGGCTACATTAGTGAATTCAAGACCAGCCTGGACACATAACGAGAC